GAGAGTGTGCGTGGGCAAAGTCATACCATGAACCACGATAACAGTTTGAAAGTGTGGAAGATCAGGTGCCAGCGTATGAGTCCATGCCTTTGCCCTGTTTGACTTAGTGGTACAGATGTAGTGTACTCTGGCAAAAATGTGATTTCTCTGGTTTACCTTCTATTGCTTGGCAACAGGTTGTACTAAACTGCAGTGCAGTGGCCAGGAAGGCAGTACAAACAGTTTTATTTACTGTTTTAAAAATGGATAGAAGACACAGTAGTTCACCTTGCCCTAAGTAGAACTAGAGTCCCAAGCTTTAAACTGATGGGAGCTCACGCACAAAACCTTGACTAAACAGACTGAAATGAAATGGATGCAAGCAGTAAGTAAAATTAAGGAGAGATTTGAAGGAAGAAAAGATGGAAGTTATTTCCTTAACTCTTAAGTGGCAAGAAGGGAGGCAGAAGGGGACAGAAACCATGAAGACTGAACAGCATGCTAAAAGCTGAAATGAGATTAGAGCAGCTAGAAATGCAGAGGCGAATGCAGAGGCTTAAGTGCACTCGGAGACTTGAACACAAGAAGGTGGTTCTGCTGCAGAAAGAAGACAGCTTGTGCTCATTGTGAGCAATAGGAAAAATTTCATTGACTTGGTGACACCAGAATTGTACCTCAAATCAGCATTGGATCAAAGTGATTCCCGCATTTAAAAGGCTCGAATGGATGTTCCTTACGTAGGATAATTTTTTAATTTTTATGTTATTACAAAAGAGAGAACATTTTCTTAAATAATCTGTGGTTAAACCAGATATAAAATAAAAACTATAGAAATAACATATATATCTACTCTCTGATCAGATTTATGTAAGAAGTATTTTTGGCACTCTGTTACATTTATGTGGGGCTCTTTTTGCCTGGATGTGTGTGTGTTTGTCTCCTCTTCTAGCAACACTAAACCATATGGCATAGGTAACATTCTGAAGAGATAGCATGGAGTCAAAACTGTCCTTACTTCACTTGTGTGCATTTTCTGAGGGATTCTCCTTAAAATTTTGTTTTCCTAAGCAAAGCAAAGAGAGAAAAGAGCTTTTCTCCTTAGATGCTGTTCTGTTTTGCTCACAGTGGAAGAGGAAATACAGGAAAAGGGAATATAGTGCTGCTCTAATTGTTATTCATTTTAATGTCATTGTACCTGCATAAATAATTTAGTGAAGTAAGAACATTTTTCAAATCTGTGTTTTACACAGACACTGAAGTCATCTCAGATAATTGCATTGGAGCTTTATTTACTCTAACATGGATCCAAGAAATTGCATCACAGTACTGTGGAAACTACTCACACCCATGCTCTCACAGTATAATTACCAGGGTTGGCATCAAGTCGTCTGAGGCCCCCTTGTGAACATTCAAAGAGGAAGCACTTCACCCATAAATCTGTCAAAAGTTACTAATTTTATAGAATCACATAATCAGAATGGTTTGGGTTAGGAGGAACCTTATAGATCATCCCATTCCAACCCCCCTGCCATGGGCAGGGACCCCTTCCACCAGAGCAGGGTGCTCAAAGCCCCGTCCAGCCTGGCCTTGAACACTGCCAGGGAGGGGGCAGCCACAGCTTCTCTGGGCAACCTGTTCCAGTGCCTCACCACCCTCAGAGTAAAGAATTTGTCCCTTATATCTAATCTAAATCTCCCCTCTTTCAGTTTAAAACTGTTGCCGCTCATCCTGTCACTACGGGCCCTGGTAAAAAGCCTGTCACCATCTTTCCTATGGGCCCCCTTTATGTACTGGCAGGCTGCTCTGAGGTCTGCCCAGAGCCTTCTCTTCCCCAGGCTGAACAGCCCCAGCTCTCCCAGCCTTTCCTCACAGCAGAGGTGCTCCAGCCCTCGTACCATTGCTGTGGCCTCCTCTGGTCCCGCTCCAACAGGTCCAGGTCTGTCCTGTGCTGAGGGCTCCAGAGCTGGACGCAGGACTCCCGGGGGGTCTCGTCAGAGCGGAGCAGAGGGGCAGAATCCCCCCCCTCGCCCTGTGCCCACACTGCTGGGGATTCAGTCCAGGGCACAGTTGGCTTTCTGGGCTGCGAGCGCACATTGCTGGGTCATGCTGAGCTTCTCGTCAACCAGCACCCCCAAGTCCTTCTTCTCAGGGCTGCTCCAAATCCATTCATCCTCCATTTCTATTGTGCCGCTGCACTTTTGCACAACGTCTTCTCAAATACTGCACAATTGCAGAATAAAAATTAATATATAGAAACATTCTAATCAAACATTTGTTTCTGCTTTATTGCTTTGGAGACAGAAGGCAGCTTATCTTGCTTTGATTTTCATTAAGTGTGTCAGTATAATTTGTGTAACTCTTAAGAATAAGGCAGATGATCATGTTATGTGCTGAGCTTAATTGATCTGTTAGCGGCTGCCACAGTCAGCACGAGGAACCTCAGCAAGGTTCATAGCAAGGTGTGGAGCAAGACCGTGGCCTCCCACATTGGTAACTATTTCTCGTGTTTTTTCAGAGCCTGTACTTCAGCTTTACATTGGCTCTTGCACTTCACAACCGCAGTTAAGTGCTTCGTATAGATATCAGGGTATGTTTACTGAACTCCAGCCTGCTGTCTGCATCAGTCAGAGCACAAAGTGCAACAGAACCGTCAGTCATTCTGTTGATGTTCAGGTTGACTTTGGCTAACTTTTAAAAACTGTTAGAGGTAATGGCCTCTTCAGAAAGTGAAGATCAGCTGCTCAGGTGGAAACTAAGTTCAGGCATTAGAAGGAGAAATATTTTTGGTTTTCCTTGGGAATTCAGACATTGGTCAAATCCAAGGGCTTCGTTATGATGTGATCCTTTAAGAGATGTTTCACTTTGATTTGGTGCTTTGTCAAACAGCTCTTCTCTAAGTAGTTGCTGGCTCTGGAGCAACAAAAACAGTGTATGCTCCTGTCAACACTCAAAGTTGTACTTCCAGAGCACTGCTGGCCATCAAGGTGAGACTGGAAGTGGCAGCCCTGGACTCCCATCAGTCTTTTGCCAATTGCTTTGGGGTTGAGAAGAAATCTTACAGTTGGGCATGATCTGGACGGATTACAACAGCCAGATGTAAAAGCTGCAGCCTGTGGTAGCTTTGCTGCTTTTTACCTGGTGGGGATCTCAAAAGAAATCCTTTTAATAGACTCAGATGTGTATAAATAAGATAATTCTTCAAGTATCTTTATCATTAAGAGAATACTGATGAGATGAGCGTATTTACTTTTTATAAGTTGGAAAACAGCAATAATGGACATGGTCTGGTAAAGAAACTTTGCAGTGCTCCCCTTCCATTGCTCAGTCTGACACGGAGCATGCCTTCATGCATGGAGCAGCCTTCATGCCTGTCGTCGTAATCTTAGGGGTAGGCAGTAAAATCCCCGGTGACGGCGGCTGTGCAGGTGTACAAACACAAGAACTGCATAACTGAACTTTTTTTTTTTAAAGGAGAAATCTATTTTACTCAGTTTTGTTGTAAAAGAAGGGCTGAAGCACAGAGTTACAGGACAAATTCTCACCACTTGCCAACCACAGGATGTTGGGACCTCGTGAACTTCTCCTGCACATCCTTTCTGCGCCCAGTCTGAGCTGCTGTATACCCGTGTCTTTCGGGACAGCCGGGAAAAACCCAACTGGGAATATACTGGGCAGGTGCGGTGTACGTCCTCTGCCAACTTCATACTGCCTGTGGTGGTGAGTTGTGGTGCAAAGCTTCACGACTGTGCATGCACCATCTGCACTTAGCACAAGGAGGATCTAAGACCCGGAAAATTTTATACCAGAGCTTATAAAGATCTGGCAAGGATAGACAGCTGAATTTTGCAATGAGAAAATTTGTTCTTCACGCCCTAAATTTTCCACTGGAAAGTAAGGAGAATACTTTAAATTGCTTGCTATTTATTTATATTATTATGTTTTGTGTGACATTAAGGTTCCATTACGCTATGCATTGCGCTAACACAAAATAGTTCTCAACCCAGTAAAACAGGAGCAAGCAGGGAGTTACAAAAAACGTCTGCAACCATGATGTGTAACAGTGAACAGTCACAGTTCCTGTGATAGTCTTCCTTCATAACCTCCAAAAGCCTGGCTCTATTCTGAAACGCAACAACCAACCCAGACTCTTTTCAGTGGTGCCCAGCAACAGGACAAGGGGCAATGGGCACAAACTGAGGCACAGGAAGTTCCGTCTGAACATGAGGAAGAACTTCTTCCCTCTGAGGGTGACAGAGCCCTGGAACAGGCTGCCCAGGGAGGTTGTGGAGTCTCCTTCTCTGGAGATATTGAAGACCCGCCTGGACAAGGTCCTGTGCCGCCTGCTGTAGGTGACCCTGCTTCGGCAGGAGGGTGGGGATAGACGACCCACAGAGGTCCCTTCCAACCCCTACCATTCTGTGATTCTGCGATTCTGTGAACCATTTAATTAATGATTGGTTTGGACATGGTTGAAGATTGGTGCTATTTACAGAAACAAAGCACGTTGGTGGTGTATTTTTATTTTTCTGTCACCTTTCCCTTGTCATATAGATTACGTTCTGACTAATTTGGTGATAAATCAGTCAGTACCTAAAGGTTTAAAGGTAGCCCATGGCTGTGTTTTGCCTTGGGAAGCTGTAAAACAAATTTTATGGCAATTCAGGAGTTGATTCACGAATCCTTCAGTCATCGGCGGAGCTGGGACAGAGCAGGCAGCTGTGTGCGGTAAACACGGCCATCCCGTGCTACATCTTCTGACGAATCCGGGGCCTTAGCCCGTGAGATTTTAGGAACAGGCTGTGTGTCCCTTTCCGAACAACTGTGTGGCCTGGCCGACAGGAGCTCTGCATGCATTCATGTCAAGTGTCTGGCAAGGAGGCAGGAATTACTGCGGGTTCCTCTTCCACGTCTGTGCCTCTTGCTGTGAAAGGCTTTGAAACATCAAGGTAGCAAGAACAGAGGTCTGCGCTTCTGCACATCAGCGCGAGCAGGTCTGTGGTGCAGAGCTGTAGATGACAGCGATGCGAAAATGCCGGAGTTCCTGGGATTTTAGTACTTGTGGGTATCCAGCACCAGAGATTCCGGAGCCCGGGGTTTCTGAAACGTCGGCCAGAGCGGGTGTACGTGAGAACGGGGTTCCTCTTGGCAGCTGGTGCCACGGGAGGCATGGCCGAGGACGGCATTACTGCAGAAACACGGGTGGGGAAGGCCTCCGCGCCGTGAAACCGGCCACTGCCTCCTGCAACGTGGACACAGCACGGTCTGGGCCGGGGCCGCCGGGGAGCCGCGGGGGAGTGGGATCGCCCCTGTCCCCACGGGACAGCCGTGGGGCTCTCC